CCCCAAAGAATTTGTTAAAATTGTCCTACAGTTTGAAAAATGTTGATGTCTTCAATTTCATTATTTAGACGAGTACTTGATTTTACCACGATGCAACACATTTCGTTACTCTGTATATAGCTGAAAGCATTCCTCCCTAAATCCTGCTGATTAAAATTTGTTATCGGTGATAATAATTTTTAAAACAAAAATAGAGGTAGATAGATTCTGAAGGTTAGACGACGGGAGGTTGGAGGGTGCCACTAATGGGTCCTACTTTTTTAATTTCCCTTCGTTGTTTCTGTCTGTCTGTCTAACCTTTTCCCAGCACTAAATGGCCATTATTGTGTTGTGTTTCTTTTTACTCAGACAAACAACTGAAGGTGAAGACAACTATCTATTATGGTCTTTTAGGTTGAAAGAGTAGAGGAAGATGGTGTGTGATAACTAGACTCTCTGAATGAGACAAGAGCCAAGCTCACTTGACAGTGTTGTCCTTTTTACACCTCTAGGTTCACTTAAAAGTGCTCTTGGCCTATAACTAAAGAAGGTTTGTAGATGATAATTATTAATTTTAGGTTCTTTTGGAATTTTGACTTTTTTTCTCTCGATCATTTGGAAATACTGCTTTTTGAAAACTGCACCTCTGCTATGAGCGTGATTCATAATGAGGAATTAAAGTACATAGTATAATGCTCCCAAGTCTGTTAATAACTCAACATACTGTTATTGCATTTTCTCCATTATTTTGGTAGCTCTGTCTCTCTTATGATACAATATGCTGAAGTTGTAGCTTTTAAAACAGTGTAGGTTGCTGACATTGTTGTTTGAAGGATTGGAATTCCAGTTGAGAGCATTTTCTTCATGGATTTATAGTGTGCAAAAAGCGTCTCTTAATAAGAGAATTTTTATGTTATATTTTCGTGTTCAGAAACAACTGCTTCTTTTGCTTCAAGGACTACTTCGTTTTGTTTTGTTCGGCGAAATATAACAATCTGGTTATTTCTGATCAACCAGTTTTGAAAGAGACGATATATATCAATATTTCATCTGCATTTGGGACGTGCATTCATTTGAACTTACTGGATTAAGAAAGTATCATGGCATTGAAACCAGTGCTGAAGACAAAGGTTGATGAGCTGTTCTTGAGATGGCTCAGCGATCCAGATGTTCAGGTAAGCACAAATGTTTTCCGTGAGTTCTTTTTCTCCTACATAGTAAATTCTTTTATGCTTGAAGTTACAGGTTCAAAAGTTAAGATTTTTTAAATTGCAGATTGTTGCCCTGAGTTTGAAGTTGATTTGCAGTACCACTGGCAGCATTGTAAACATCTTATTGAATTTGTTATTTTGTTCTCCATTTCTCTCTCTCTCTCTCTCTCTTTCTCTCCCTCTGTCTCTCTCTTCCTATGTCATCTGTGCATGTTTCCTTCTGTCAACTTGTGTGCGTTTTTGAGGAACATAGATCTAGTAAGATAGCGCTTTCCCTCGTCTTCTTATCTGGAAAGTTTGAGATGCTCTGCCTTGTGTGAAAATATTTTATGTGGTTGTTGCGTTCTTTTGGTCCGACTGTCTGAGTATTGTTATATTGGTTGCTGGTGATGTCTACCTGTCATCTTAGTGTGTCATTGCTTCTGAAGTGTGGGTTGTGTGGTGTGAGGGGAGGGGCAGGCGATGTAAAATTGTAATTTAAGTTGGTAGAAAGGGTGAAGAGTCAGTGGCCATTATTGTTTCTCACTGAAGGTAATTTTTCTTTTCTTTTTTTTTTTTTGTCAAGTGCCTTACAGCGCTCGCAACTGCATAAAGTCATATGAGTGCGCTGGACACACCTAACATTTTCAGTTATTGGAAATTTTGAATTTTGCCCTGGTGGGGGCCGAAGCCTACTCTTATCGATTTGGAACTACCAAAGGATCTTCAACGTGCGCAACTTGCAAACGGGACCTCCTAGATTTTTTGCCCTTGTCCGAGAAGGCTAGATGTAGATCTTTCCTTCCAGAAGATCAGGAGTGTGGCAGAAAGACAGCTGTAAGGAGGAGCCAAGGAGAATCAGTGGAAATACTGCAGAAAGAGTCAGGAGCGCAGAGGAGGGGGGTAAGAAGGAGAGGTGGTGTGGGCAGAAAACAGACGACTGAACATTGCTAGAGAGCAGGAAAATAAGTGAAAGGAGACAATTTTAGAGAAGAAAATTTTTCTGTCGTTACCCGGATTCGAACCCGGGACCTTTGAATGAGAGTCAAACACCTTAACCGCTAGACCACAAGAGCCCCTTTCTTTTCCTTGATCTCAGTTCTTTATTGCATAAATGATTATATGCCTTTTTTGTTACTCACTACTTCAGAAAATCTCAATATTGATAATCTGTCCTTGACTTTTTTTTTATCGACATATTTTTGTCAGTTCTTTGGGGTTGCAATAATAATTTTACTCAATTATTGTCTCTTAAAAAAAATTACATTCATTTAAGTGGGTGATGGGCCGCAATGGCGGGTGCTCTGGTGTGGTTTGCTCCTTCTTTCCTAGTAAACAACTATCAACTTTATCTCTCCTCCTTTTTTATGATTGTTACACTCTTGTACCACCTTTAATCTTGGGCACTTATATGACCTTATTGTATTGTAAGTGCAGTGATACTCTTACTGAAACTAAACTGAATCCTTTAAATCCCTTGCTTCGTTGTAGATATCCCTACGAGGGAGCTTACAGCAGATCGGGAAAGGCGAATCTGTATGTGGGTCAGGGCACCAAAGCTCCTCTTTCGGGGTCCGCGGATCGTCGCAGCGGGCAGGGAATGCGCTGCTGTCGCCAGGAAGTCCCAAGTTGCCAAGCCCCCGGAGTCCTCGTCGGCCTCTTCAGACCAAGAAGCACAACCAAGACAGCAACAGGGTAAGTTGCGTTACTCTATACACACGCCTCTCTGGTCAATGTTCAAAGTGGCCTTCTGCGAAACCAAAGCCGTTAGTAATACGGGGTGCCCAGTACAGCTGCGCCCGACTTGGTCGCCTGAAACTGAAAACAAACGCCTTTTGTTTTTGAGGCGTCCGAGTCTAGCGGTGGGCCCGATCCGCCGATTCCATCCGTAGTGGGCACCCCATGTAATAAGTGGAGCACGTGACCTGTTGCTTCTTTAAATGTGTCTTCTTCTTCTCCTTCTGTATCCTCTTCTTCTACTTCTATAGCTGACTTCCTCTGCAGGGCGGCAGCCTGCTATGCTGCATGCACGCAGTCTGATATGTAACGACCTCTTGGGGTTTGGTCCATAGTATATCGTTTCTGAAAAACTGTATCTACTGTTTTCTTTTCATTTTTTGTTTTGTCACAAAGATATGTACACCAGACAAAGATATGTACACCAGACAAAGATATGTACTCCAGACAAAGATATGTACTCCAGACAAAGATATGTACTCAAGACAAAGATATGTACACCAGACAAAGATATGTACTCCAGACAAAGATATGTACTCCAGACAAAGATATGTACTCCAGACAAA